TGATCCCAAACAATGTCAGCTACCGGCTCAGCTTCTACGACAGCTATATCCAGGTTATTGAGGATGATGACGGCACGCCGCATCCCTCTTGGTGAATTCCAGTTTATGCGTTCTCCCTGAGGCCCGAAAATCTCACCTTTAAGGGACCTGCTGCACCTCTGCCTCACAATATCATGGTTGAGTCTTGGGCAGACCCGCACGAAATGCCCAACCATTGCGCAATATCTGCATTGTTCGTTAGCCGGATCCTTCTTACCATACCCCCGATTCGCTACTGCTGGCGGGACTATGGCCTCTCGGGGCGGGAGGGCGGGTCGGGACACCTGCGCCTGCATTACTAATAGCGCATTTTCCACTTTTTCTATCTTACTATCAATCCTGTGCACTCGTTCATGCAGGCTCTCTATCCCCTTCTTGACTTTATCCCCCGTCTTCCCAGTCAAGTTTATAACCTCCCCTTCCTTAAGCAGGGCTAGCGTCTCGGTCACCACTGTCTTTTCTGCGAGGTCCGTTACGGTGCTGAAGTCCACATCCCTTGTGTACTCAAACTTACTGGTCTGCTGGTAAGCCGAGAAAATCTTATCCTTGTCGAACTCGGAGAACTGTCTAAGGAAGTACTTACTCATTATTCGGTCCGTAACCCCGGGGATTCTTAGTGCTACCAAAGTAAACTCCCGTAGGAAGTCTTTGTACGTTGCGAAGTTCTTCCTCTGGACTGCCGCTGAATCGGCCTCCGTTGCCACCTTCTCTACTGCCAGATACTTTCTCATCATCACATCCCGGGTTTCTTTCCAAGACCGGCTTGGGGCCACGATGGCCATTATATCCCGTCCTAGGCTCAAAGACACATGCTGCCCCAGGTGGTCCATCTTCTCTTCTTCGTTCTATTTCAACAACGCAGCCAGATTCTCGTAATCTATCAGGAATTCCGTGATGTTCTCCCCATCAAACGTCAACTTTTTCTTAGCATCCGCTAGGTAGCCTTGATTTTTGTTTAATGCTCGCGCGAGGGACGACACTATCTTCTTAAGGCCGCCCTCGGAGCTGCTAGTCTCGTCTGCCATACTGTTATCCGGACCTTCCTTGCCGGCCTTCTGTCCCTCCCCGGTTTTCATAGTTCCTTTTGGGTCAAACCATCCGAACACTCTTTCCCTAAGGCTCCAAAGTCCTTCGCATCCTCGTGTTACTGCTGGCGTGGTCGGTAGGTGGCTAGCCCTACTATCCATGGCTGGCGGAGTCGTAGCCTTTTCTGCTTCTATCCCCGGAGAGTTCTTTCACTTTCCTTCTCTTGCTCGGTGTTCCTCCACGATCACTACCTTTATCCCCTTGTCCTATCCCACCTCGGTTGGTTTTTCGTTCGTCCCGGGGTTCCTCCTGCAGAGGGCCTTCTTCGTTCCCAGTCATCATTTCCTCAATCAATCTTACCTTGTATTCCGCGGTCCTTTTTTCTATCTCGGCTAATTTGCGCCTCGCATCTGTGACCCTCATTTTCTTAGACATGGCCCCTTCCGAGTTTTGGGGGCTTGTCCTATCCTTATTTCTGCCCTCCTTGGTTTCCTGAGTCCCTTGCCTGCTTCCCTCGGCTTTCCCCGAGCTTTCTCCTGTGGAGATTTCCTTCCGGTTCTCTTTGGTACCATCCGGATTTATCGATCCTCTGTCCTTCTGCCCCCCTCCACTTTGTGCGGCACTGCCTCCTAAGCCTGGTTCTCCTTCACTCTTACGGTTATCTGTCTCTTCCTCGGTTGCCATTTTGCCTAGTTCTGCATAGACCAAAGAATTCCCAGGACACACGCAACACGAGGCATTTAGGTTCCCTAGGATCCCGGCTCTGTTGGCTTACCTTTTATAGCCCTTTTCCTATCTCCGTTTCCTGATTGTCTTTCCCTAAGGAGGAGCCACGACTGGCCCTGCCGCTCAGCCGAGCTACGAGCATGACTAAGCTTCCTTTATCACAAGCTCGTTTGTAATGCCCTTGTCCCGTCGGGCCGAAGGGAGTCCGGGTTAGACATTCTGCTAGGGAAAGTCTTCCCGAGCAGTGTTTCCTATTTTTGACCTTCAGGGTTATGGTCAATCATTAGGAGTCTACCCCCTTCTTTGTTTTTCTGGTGGGTTTTAGCCATCCGGGTCCGAGGCCCCCTTTTCCTATCTCTGTTGGTGAGCCTTCGAATGTAGCGTACGGTACTTGATTTGCTCTACAAACTCGCCTGCGGGTGCTAGTCCCGTTCTCGTCCTCGTGGCCCTTCCGGTTCAGTAGGTTCCTCGAATAGTTCAGCCACCCCTGCTAAATAACTCTATCCTATCTCGATTTCTCTTTTGATTACCCGTTCGCATCCCGCCCAGTCTAGTCGCGGCGCCCTAAACATCAAGATGTGGATGACTTTCAGTAACTCGTGGGCCCTGTTTCCCCAAAACGGCCCATGTTCCACAGCGATATCATAGAACATCCCAATGGTAGGGGAGGGAAAGTGACCTGCCCAGACTATCGCTGAGTCTGCCAGCTCCCGCGCCCTCGCGAGGCTTCCGAAGACGAGGTTTATCATAAAACGGGGCACTCGGCATCTCAGCGGTGTGGTCGGTGCCCTGAACTCCCTCCAACCTCCCATTTCCACCCGGGTAAGTAAGCCCACGTTCCTTCTACCCCTGATTGATTGTCCTATCCGGGTCAATGTCCAGGCGGCCCTTCGAAAGACCGGTGCCAGCTGATGACCTTGTGCTATTCCTACCCCCAACGAGTGTCAGTCGTTCTCAGACAGATACATGGTCCTGGTAACTTCCAGATTGGAATACAGATCGTCCCCAGGTCCTCGGTTGAGTCTCATCCCTGTCCACCGACATTCTACCAACATGAAGGCGGCGTCCCGTTCTAAAGTCACGGTCCGCCATTCTATGTCGAACCCCCGGTAAGGAGAACTCAAAGGGAGGGATACTTCCCATCGTCCCCCGTTATTCCAGGGCGGTCCTGGGTACCGAGGCTGGCGTTCCATCCGCACATGGGGCTGGCATTCCATTCGCTCACGTCTTGCTGCCACCGTTGCCTTGGTGATTCCCTGCATAGTCCACATAGAAAGGGTTACAGCCAATCTTCAGAATCCGTCCACCTACTGCCTCCCTTGCCCTTCGGGTTCTCATTCCTCTTCTCTAGTCCAACTATCCCTCCATACCCCTGGGAGCAGTAGCCTCCTCTGGCAGCTCGTACAACCGGTAGAGATCATCCACGTAGGTCACGCCCCGACCTACCTCCTGCCGGATGACTCTCCACATGGCCTCATCGCTTATTTGTGGGACTCCTGGCCTAGTATTTACTACTGCTCGTAGAATGCAAAGCACCTCGCACCCCTGTTCGTCCCCAAAAGGCCCCATCTGTAGGAAGGCCCGATAGTATTATCGATACATTAATGCTTCGTCAAGATTTAGCCTAGTTACAGCAGTCACTGCCTGCTCCACTCGTTCTATGCCTCCCATTAGCCTTAGCATAAAAGGCGGTAGACTCATCCGTACGACCTCATTGGGCATCTCAAAGATCCCTGCTGCGGCAACTCTTACATCGGCCGTCACGTCGTCTCGTTCTGGGACTGCGAACTCAAACCCCTCTCGCCAAGTTATTTGCCATGCTCCTTCAAACATTCGTACGGGGTCATCCCCGGAAGCCAAGGCAATCCCAAAGGTCCGCCACCCCTCTTCCGACAGGTGTAAGGATCCCGTCGCATGCACTCGCCCAGGAGGTCCAAATTTACGCACCCGAACTTCCCTCTCGCACGCCATTCCAGCTCCACTACTAGGTACACCGTGTCCTCCACCAATTCTACCCCCACCCAGTCCATTACCGGATTGCTTACCGCATTTCTTGTCGGCAGGCTTATTTTGACCCTGCCTTCCGATACCCTTGGTGACAGGATCCCGCGAGGTCTATCCCCCCAGAAAGTCATTCGCTGGGCCATCTTGAAACGCCTCCTTTCTTGCTGCCTTAGTCTGATTGCTGCACCCATCGAGATTCCATGCCCTTTCGTGTTCTAGTCTTTCAGCCCTTCCCTACTTATCGTACACTGGTTTTTGCCACTATCCACGACCCATACACGTACGATTCTACCCCCCCCTTTTTCCGGTTGCTGCCACTTCTCCCTTGTTTCGATCCTTATGCACCATCTACGACCTAATGTACAAACTCCCTTTTTTATATTACACCTCAACTCACAAGCACCCTCCATACTCCGTCCTTCCTGTGGCGCTCGAACTTTGAGCCCCTTTAATCAAACCACCGCATCTCAAACAACAAAAAAACATCCTCCACATAGGATGGCGCGGCCGCCGCCTCCCGGCTAACTATGGCGTCCCAAACTTTCGTGCTTTCCTCTAGGCGGTCGTACTTACCTATCCTTAGGATGGTGATGACCTCACCCTCTTTATCCCCGTAGAAGAGTCCATATTTTAAGGAGAACCTATAAAACTCCTCGGTCAGCCAGGCACATTCTATGTGTACTTTCCTCATGGAGTCGGCTACGTCTGCTATGTGCTCCAAACCCCCGAACCAGTCGGCCACAAACTCGGGCACCCAAGCTGTTATGCGCAGGCAGGGAGGCCTGAGTTCTTTCCACCCTCCCATCATAACTTTGCTTCCAACTTCGTCCCACCCTTCGTTGGCGAACCTCTTGCCTTCTTTTCGGGTTCGCACCTCTGCATCCCCTAGAAGCCACATTGAATTTTGTCCCATCGATAACATAATACAAAACAGGTGTCACCCGTCCTCGGAGAGGACAATTGTTCCGACTGATTCCAATTTGCCCTCTGCTAAATCGTCCCAACCTTCCTCTTTCCTTATCGGGTTCCAAATCCGTTCTATCCATACATACGATAATTCCCGAGCAACCTCAAACCCAACCCAGTCGCACGTGGTCCCTCTCCATTCGCTTTCCGTTGGTATAGGCATCTCTACCCCCCTTTTGAGTCGTCTCGGTTCCCATCCCTTGAAGGTGTATTCCATCATCATCTCTTCTCTAGTCATCCTTTTCCCTACCTGCACAATACCAGGCCACCCGTTTTTCCAAGGTCAAGTCCCCTTCCTTAGAAGTCTCAATCCTCTATCTCCTCATCCTCGTCCTCATCACTGAAGTCGTCCTCTTCGTCGTAGAACAACTCTTTCACCCCCTCCAGGAATGCTTCTCCTATTGCCACATTTCTATACACTATCCCCCAATGTACAGGGCTAGAGACATAGATATTGTCTATGCTAAGGCAGTTTAGTATCTCGGCCAGCTCCTCCGCCCAGTTCCCCTCGAACGGTCCCATCTCTACTGATAACCGAAAAAAATTATGCCTAGCGCATTGGTATAGCCCGAGGTTCGTCATGGACTGGCATCTCCGCACTAGCCTGCTCCGAGTTCCAAAAACCTCGTCCACTAGGAAGGGAGGCAACACACATCGCATGGTTCTTACGGGTCGCCTCATGCTTCCTCTATCCCCAAGTTCCACCCGCACATCTACCTTTTCCATTTCCATCTGCCTTCGCTGACATGCAGCCCACACAACCTTTGCTTCCGCCTTCCTAAACAACTCGTCCGGTGTACTCCCGAGTGCCAATCCTATGACCATAGCATTTTCCTCATTTTGCGACAAGTAGACCCACCCTCGGGCTTCCACCGTTCCCCGGAACTCCAAATCTATTAAACTTGGCGACAACCTTGTCAAGCTAACATTAGCCCTTACCGTCTCTATCCATAGGAACGCGTCCTTCTCTTCCAGCATTACGGTTTGATATGCTGGTTCAAGGTCCGTCCACGCCCCATCTTCCGGGAGGACGACCGACACCCCATCCTTAATGTCTACTGGCATCTCTGGACCGCTGGTATAAGTCGGGGGAGACAACCATCGCGCGATCTTGTTTTCAGCACCCGACCCCTGTTTTCATAAAAAGAGCATCAACCGGTCATTTTGGTCAGGTCAACCCTTGCCCTAGATGAGAATTATTTCAGACCCCTCATCAAGGTCTTCCTATTTTACCTCCCCATTCCTAAGTACCTCCTTCCCATAGTTCCCTCGGCCGGCCATCCATTTGCCCACATTCTTTCTCTTGGTTCCATTCCAATTGACCTCTATCCTCCTTCCTTCCGATCATCTCTCACTCGTGTGGACTTAGAAGGAAGGGGGAATAGACTTAGAAGAATGTCCGTCCAATAGTCCAAGCTCAATCACTCTTTACGGGGGGGGGGACACATAAAAAAATAAGGCAATCTCACATACGGGCCGGTCATCTCCTCACCGGCCATCCCAATATGGTCTCTCCGCTGATATTATCGATAGAGTTTTACCCCATACCTCAAGCGCAGCTCAACCGTCGCGAGCGCGGTACCCAGGTCTCGGCAAGGAATTCGCCCTTTCCTCCTTACCCAGAATACCCCATCCCGTCTTGCCGCTTTGCACATCCATACCGACACCGAGAGTTACCTCGAGTGCCTAAATACAGGGACAAAGTCAGCCGCCCGACCATTCATTTCCATCGGTCCGACAAGAATCAGCCTTTCCCAAAACCATGCTACGAGAAGCTACTAATCACCTCCGAGACTCCGTCTTTGTCCGCATGCAGTAGTACTCCCTCCGCCAGCCAACATGCTAAGCCTCGCCTGAGGAGATTTCACACCCCGTCCGGCAGATCATCGAGCCGAAGCCCGTCATTGCTCGAACGAGAATGCTACTAATCAACCGACGTGACAAACTCCCGTCCGACAGCTCGGTGGCCTAACCTCCACATACGAACACACGGCAGCCTACAAAAGAGAACGACGTTTGGCAACTCGCACTGGCCGTTGCAGACCAATCCTTTCCTTCCGAAAGGCAGGATGCTCGAATCCCATCATGCAAACACAAGTACCAAGCGGGACACACATAGTACAAGTGCCTTTCCCTGGGTGCACCCAGCGCTTCCTACCCATAACTCACAGATTTTCTCTCGGGACAATGAGTATCACTCCCCCTACTTTCATACATAGTGGTTGGTTTCTTCTCGTGAAAATCTTCAGAGGTGAGCTAGTTTTCCTTGGAGTCTAGCAACTCCCTTCATTCCCCTCTCTCTTCACTTGTTTGTCCTTTCATAGGGCGGGATTGTTCCTTCTTGATGACCCATTGTGTTCATATTGGTTCCTTCAAGCATTTAAAAAAAGTGCAAAATGCATGAGCCCACTGGGCTCAAAGAAGGAGATAGAAGGGCACCCGTTCGGTCGGATCACTCCACCGCGGTATTTTCATTGGGGCCCGGCCTAAGCCAAGCACCAACCGCCTGCCAGGTAACCGGAGCCCATCTTTCATACGAAGAGGAAGGGTCGACCTGCGACTTGCCCAAGGCTTCCCGGACTGACGAACACCAGCACCGGACGAAGGAGGGCTAAAACCATTCCACAAGAAAATGGTTGATCAAATGCACAGCATGCATGTTATACCTCCAGGCCTGGCCATGCCATGCGCCCAGCCACTCTCAAATCTGATTTTTCATAAGGGAAAGAGCAATCACAAGTCCATTTTCTTTATCTTGGGTTGTGTACACGTCAATGCGTCAGGCGCCCCCGTCAGGATCACAAGGGTCAATTTAACCCCCTACCCGGCACCTCCACCATTTTTGTAGGGTCAAACCCCGGTAGACTTTCGAGCCTTAGTCGACCCCACTGCGGGTCCCAGTTGGCTCGGCCCGCCCATGCTCATGCTCAGGGTGCGGGCTGTTCGTCCCGAGGTCACCCCCACCTAGTGCTTTGAGATGGATGGGGGTGGGTCATCGCGCGAGAGAGCTTTGACATTGGGGATGTAGCTCAGCCCTCACGCCGGGTGATAGTCTCGCTGGTTGTTCCGCAACGCTGATTTTTTTTTTGATTCTTTGTTGTGTTCTCATGCAATTGTTCCTTCCAATACACAGGCAGTCCAGGGATTCTTTGAGTGTTCCTCTTCTCTTGTGAGTAGGTTAAGCGTCATCCTTAGGCCATGCACCATTTCCCTAAGTATTATGGCCATATGGCGTAATCGGGGTGCGGCGGAGCCGTCCTCTCCCTCGCCTTTACGCATCCATTGGTTCTCACAAATTGCTTTCTTCCTTATTGAAGTAGGCCCCTTAGTCTTTTCGGGGCCCTCATATGCATGCACACACAGCATCTCATTTTCCTTGGTACGATTGCACTCTCATTTACACTCCAAGTCGTCAAGCGCAAAAATAATTTTCATGGGTTGGTTCTATGTCAAGGGTCTCATAGCCCCTTTGTCCCTCTTCCATTTCCCTCTTGGTGCCCAGTTCCTCTCGCCTCTATCCCGCTCAAGGCATTTCTAGCCATCACTCACCTACACAATCCCACACAAGCAAAGAGATCCATACAATCCCCCGTTGGGGATCAACACATAGCCCTTCCCACATGTCTATCTTTTCAAGTCCTTTGGCCGTTCTTTGTTCCCTCTTGTTGCTCAATCAGCCCATTCTCTTCTCATAGTCATGCAGTCGGGGAAATGGTTGAGTCAAACTGACCTCACTTTCAACTTA